ATAATAATAATAATATTTAATTTTTATATAGCGCTTTACAAATATACTATTACCCCAGTCATTGGATTCAGTGCTTGCCCACACACACTGTGTGCACAATCTCCACTCCCTGGGGAGCATTCCAGCCGGGCATTACTTGACGCTCACAAGCTGTTTGACCAACAATGACGGCCGCATCCTACCGGGTACCCATTTGACACCTGGGTGGAGAGTAGCAAGTGCAGGTTAATATCTTGCCAAAGGATATTAGTGCCATGTCATCAGTGACTTCGGGTGATAGAAATGTGCTTCCTACCTGTATGTTTAATGTATTGAAACCATATTAGAGAGAGATTTTCTTAACATTTTTTGAAAATTTTGAGTAACACTCTTGTTTATTTTCTGTGTGACAGTCACACTCAAAAAGACTAGTCATTCTTACTGGGTCACTAACTGCCATGAAAGTCACCAACCTTTTTTTTGTGAAGCTGGACTACCGGAACATTCCAAAGTGCCACAAGTCTAAAAGATTTAGAGCAGTGCCAATTAGATGAAAGAGGGTGCTTATCCATTATCCCAAACAAGCTAAAGCTTGAGCTGTTAGACCAATTAGTACTTCTCAAGAAATAGTTGAGTTTATTTTCAAGTGTTTGAGTCAATAATAATGATAATAATGATAATAATAGTCATATTTGTAAAGAGCTTTATATTCTATTTATTATTACCCTGGTTATTTGATTCAATTGCTAATCCGCACATGATAGAGCATACTTTCTGCTCCCTGGGGAGTATTCCAGCCAGGTGCCATTTTGCAACACATTCCAATCCAACCACATCAACGTTCGCATCCTACTGGTACCCATTTAACACCTGGGTGGAGAGTGGCGAATGTAGATCAATGTCTTGCCCAAGGACATTAGCGATGCGTCTGGACTCGCACTGCGAACGATGTGATCATCAGTCCAGTTTACATATCCACTAGACCACAACATTTTTATGTTAAGTAACCCTTGCTCGCTTGAGGAATAGACTTGAGCTGCAGTGTGTAATAGTCCTATTGAATCTTTATCAGTGAATCACACTATGAACATGACAGACAAAGAACGCGGACAAAATATACAGTTCCTCAGGCAGACAAAGGAACATCCCTTCACTGCTATTATGTAAAAAGGTGAATATGCATGTGACACCTGTTCTACACATTTTTACATAATAGCAGTGAAGGGATGTTCCTTTGTCTACCTGAGGAACTGTATATTTTGTCCGCTTTCTTTGTCAGTCATATTCATAGTGTCAGCCCATTAATTGGACAAATAGTGGGCTATTTCACAAACAAACCGTAATTTAATTGGAATAATAACTCAAGTTGTCTTGCCCAAGGACATTAGTGCTGCCGCAATGGGACTCGAATTGCGAACTATGTGATCCGCATTCTAGTTAAAAATCCACAAGACCATGAAGCAACCCTTGCTCGCTTAAGAAATTAACCTGAGATGCTGAGTGGAAGCTTCAACAGTGAAACAGCCCGCTAATTAGACAAATAGCTAATTCACAAACAACCCCTTTGCGTCGGATAATAATTCAAGTTGATATCCCCAGCAAAATGGTGGAATACATGCAGCCAATTTTCACTCAAATTATCTCAAAGTTAAATTTAGTTTAGGGGTGTTTCACAAAGATCCTAAGTTGAACTTATCTCTAAGTTGGACTTAACAATTATGGAAAGCCGTTAGCATCTATGAAAATATTTTGTAAAAGATATTTTAAAAGGCAAAAAAATGTTGATTCAAATCATTCTTAGTTTCTATTATCAAGGAGATTTCATGTTCTTGATGTGGAATTTATGAAAAGTCTAAAATACTTGAATTTTCACTTTCAATATATTTATTTTAAGGCTACAACTGGCTCTCCATAATTGTTAAGTCCAACTTAGAGTTAAGTTCGACTTGGGATCTTTGTGAAACACCCCCCTGGTCCCGTAATTTTCCCCAGTCTGAATGAGGGGGCTGTTTTGAAAACTCAGGCTAATGGAAACAGGCCTTCTAGAGAGAGGTCTGCTTGTGAGATGGAGATCAGTCCAGATTGACTAATTATCATGAGATAACCATCCCTCTATCACCATCTGTTTGGACAAGATCCCTTTCTGGATTTGATTTGTTTAAAGAGAACTAGCTGTGACCAGAGACTCTGCTTCTGACTCATCATTACTAAAAGTTCTTGATACAAACCCCCTGTCCACACACAACATTTTCCGTGATTAGCTATACCGTTTCGCGATAGTGATACCGTTTCGCGATAGTTTTACGATGAAATTGTGTGTGTGGACGCTCACTAACGATACGTTGTATAACGAAACTAGTCTAACGAAACGCAGGTTTGGGCATCGTTTCGAACTGAAACTCAATAAAGAATCACGCCTAATCACGCCTAATCACGGAAAATGTTGTGTGTGGACAGGGGGAGTGTAACTAGTGTAACTAACTGGGCGGGGCTTAACGTGACCTCGAGCGAAAGGAGTCCAGACTGTAGAGTTTCAGGATTACTTTCTTCTGTTTATGGACATCCTTGAATTTATACGATGATTATTTATATGACGTTTCTTGTGTGTGGACACTTTTGAAATTTATACTATGATTCTTTATACGATGTTTCGTTATAGAGTTTCGGGATAAATTGTTTTGTGTGTGGACACGCTGTATAATTGCTTCCCATCTGTGTGCACCATCATATTCTGTTTTCATCTTTACTTCAGAAAATATATCTCATTTCTCTCTTGATCTCCGTTCCTCTTTTCTTTTTCTCTTTCCCCAAGGCCTTTCTGTTTCTGTGTCTCTTTCTCCTCTCTCTTTACATCCCACTCTTGCCTCCCTCTTTCTCTCTAAAAGTCTCTTCATATAATTTTCTTACTATTTTCTCCTTTTCCATTCCATTACTTCTCTCTTTTCTGTTTTCTATTATTTTTTTTTTTAAATCTCATCCTATACTTAATCTATCCCCTTGTGCTCAACACTGATGGAATACTAATCACAAGTCAATCACAGAAGGTCATTTCTCATATCATGTCTTATAGATTAAAATATTTTATACATTGACACAATCTACTCTCATGGGTTTCATTCACACTGCTCATATTTATAACAATTAGAAATGTAATTCTCTGGATTCATCAACTGCATTTTGTCTCATAAAGGTTGGCCTGTAAGTATTGTCATTCACGTCTAAAATACATGTACATATGCCTGTAAAATGATTTTTATATTTCATTATTTTAAAAAATGGATGAAGGATAACACTTAGCATTTTATTTTAGGGAAAAATATATTTTACATTGTAATTTACAAGACTAAGTAAAATGGAACTGTCATCCATGTTATTAATGAGTCCTTGTTAATAAAGACTTTTTTGTTCTCATTTAAATTATCTCGTAAATCGTGTATTCTCTGAATTGAGAATGATGCAATATCATTTAGTGCAAAGTAGGTATGGGCATTGGAAAGCTGTACAGCATTCCACTATTAGATGCTTTATCAGGTCACTAGGTCAATCTGCCATGTGAATATCTTTTATTGCAGGAGAATTGCAATCAATTGCACCCTTTTCTCCCAATTAAGATATGTTATACACTTTTGTATACAATATGTAGGCCTACCCCATTTAATAGGTTTCATCCAAACATTGAAACTTTGGGCTTTTCACACCAGACATATTTCTTTATACGGATCTGTCTCTGGTGTGAAAGACCTTAAAGTTTCAGAGTGTGGATGAATCCCATTGCATCGTGTTTATCTCATCAATATAAAGGTAATGGGGAGTTCAACAAGTTAATGAAGATACCAAAATTCATATCGAACAAAATGATGATCTGTTCAACAACAGACAGACAACAGTTAAATTGGAAATATGGATAGGATATATCTCTAGATAGGATAGCTGGCAGTGTGATTATAATTTTCATCATTTTTTGTTGTGGATGATTTTAGTGACTATTTTCCCCCCATCTGAAATTTAAATTGAGACACAAATATATTCTATGACCTTCAATGTGTACTCTTTCATGCTTTCCTTTGGATGTCACTTAGTCCATATGTTATCGACCACATCTACAACCTTAGCATGCCCCGTAAATGTGTTAATTTGCCAGCCCTACTAGATGTTAGGTAATTTGAGTCAGAAAAAAAAACGGAAGTAAAATGATACTCGTTGTGTCAATCTATGCTCACATTACCGTAACACTTGGTTAAGTAAGGGACACCAAACAACTGAATACCCCGAACGTGCCCATATAATTAAAACAGTACTTGAACAAATGATTTTGAATTGTATAATTTTTTTTAAGGTGGAAGAGAGTTGACGAAAATACTTTTACTCCATTCTTTCTGTATAATTGAAAAGGTACATTTCTGCTTTGTTATTGAAAGCATTCTTTTTTTATATACAATAATGAGGAAATTCAGTGCACTCATTTTCTTGGCCTTTTCCCAAGCACCAGATAACAGTGAGGATAATTTCATATTTCTTGTATTAAATAAGTCATTCATTTGGAAGCCCCCTTGTTGGTAGTCAACTATCAGGTCATTTAATTAACTACTATAGAAGCCATACTACCATTACACTCTTATTTTTTTAGGGAAGGAGGGGGGGGGGGGCTATTACAGGCTTGCATAACAATATTACATAAATTTGTTATTCTGAAATATTTTAAAGAATTTTTTTGAATGTTTTCATGTCCTCAAAATATTGCATAGTATAAACCATTTTTTTTTTTAGATCAGGGGGATATTTCTATATTTGTTATTTGCTTGTAAAACCTTGAAAAATTATCATACAATATATATATATATATACACATATATATATATATATATATATATATATATATATATATATATAGTGTTTTGAGATTAAAAAGACACCATAATACTTGATAGACACACTCATGGGCTTCACTTGACAGTATTGTTTTATGATGATGTCATTTTTTGTTTTCTGTTACACAATGCAATGTTTGTCTCCCTCTACAGGTGACCTATGATGGTGATGCTACCCTCTGCTGTGCGACCCCTGACCGTAGAGGACCTTCACCTCTTCCTCTGACCTGTGGCGGCATTGCAGGTATATGCCTCCACTTCTATGATACTGCCCCCATTGGCCGCTATGGAACAATGACATACCTTGCTCGTGCTGTTGCCAAGCAACTCAACTTGACGCAGCATTTTGGTGCTGATGCTAAGGTGGAATGCAAAGTTAGCTGATTATTTGAATAAAATTGATTTGGGGGTTTGGGGAAAGGAAGGCATTTACTTTTCTTTATTATTACTTATTGCTGGTCTATTCTAATTATGATAATTCATACAAAATCATGAAGGAAGGAGGGTTCTTACAGATTTGAAAGATTTACAGATTTCCTTCAATTTTTGCTAATTTGTAAATTGAATGTGCTTGTAATGTACAAATATTTATTGCACACAGCTAAGGTGCTAATAATGATTTTAAATGTTAGTAAATACTCCATGATAGATTCATATAAGTGTTGCATACATTCAGATGTTCTACAGAAGAAAGATAAACAGACGGATTGATTAAAAATATTTGTTTAGAAAGCAGTTTAGTTATGTCTTACTTACCCGTCTCAGTGCCATTAGGTGGTTTAACTGCTAAAATTAAAATATGAATTCTACCACTTTTACAGTTAGTGAAACTTGTCTTTCCACTCTGAAATTGAATCGAAATTGGTTGCAGAAAAGTTTGATGTCGTTGAACTCTGTTTTTATCAAATACAACAACCCCCCCCCCCTCCTCCCCCTCCACACACACACACACACAAACAAAACTTTTTTTAAAAACCCTTGATTTTTTAAACTTATGTATTGAAATCATAATCCTGATCAGTGTTTCAAAACTTAGGAGCTGCATATTTTTAAATATTAAAATTGTAAAATTAAAGAAACATATTTTTGATCATTGGAGGAGCTTTATGATTCATATTTGTTACCTACTCTTACAAATACCATTTAAATTTCTGGATGAAGTCCCCCAAAATCATTTTAAAAAAGTGAACTGTAACCAAGTGAGCTATCTTTCTCAACATTTTTAATGATCCTCTCATAACTCTTAAAATGAAAATTATTTCTGTTGAAATTAGGCAAATATTTAACGTTAAAAGAGAAAACCCACAAAGGCTTATTAGTACTTACAAAGTGACTGTTGATTAAGCTCTCAATTCGATTCAGAAGAGAAGAAATTATATGGATTATATCTTGTCTTTTTCCCTCCGATCTAGTTGTGTAATCAAAGAAAACAATACAATGCCTAAAGTGTGGATGTTTTTTCTGATTATTATTATATAATGGTGTTTTTTATATGGATTGCTGTATTTTTAGGGTGAAATATTTGTGTGTAACAATAGACAGCTGAAATAAATATATTGATATATTTGTATATTTCCTTAATTTTTAGCGACACAAGCTTTGCACATACATCCTTGTAGGATGGTCCTAGTGTTTCAAAAATGTACTGACATGAATCACCTTTGTGTGGCGATTGTGCTAGGTTTAGATATGACTATAAAGTTTCCCATTGTCCTAGAATAATTTTTGGCTGCGTTTAAGCTCAATTTTGAAAGCAGAATGAACGATATGAAACGCTCATCGTAATTGCTCATCGTAATCGCAGTTCCACGGTGTACTGTTTATGCTCACTTCTCTGGCTCCTCCAGGCAATTCTTGCTGGGTGGCCCTAATTGGTCTTGCAGCTGGATTCACAAACCTGCACTGTGCATGCTACGTAGACCCACTAGAGGCGATCGTGATTGCTGTTTTTCAGTGATTCTACAAAAGTGAGAAAGGACGCAACCGTTTTAAACTAAACGCATAACAGATGCCTGATTCTGGCCAGAAAAAGTTGAGCATAAACACCCCCTTAGAGTGTGCACTCCTGTTTAGATAATTTGTGAGCTAGTACTAGATATAATTTGGATAATTCCATCTATATGCTTTAATATCATAGATTTTCTTACGATTATCAAAATTCTATACACAGTTGTACAATTTCAAGCTGTGATGTCTTATATTTAGTGACTATATAACTTTGCTGAGATTCCCCCTTTGGACATGAAAAAAAGATATACAGTATATATGAATGAATCAGTGAATATAAAATTGTGAGAACCCAGTATATTGGTGCATTTGTCTTCCAAGGCAATGCCATAATTTATAAATCATGTATCTCATTGCATAATGATATGTCGTAACAAAGTGACTACCCTATTTTCTTAGGGTTTTGCTATTTTAATCACGTATGAGGAAATTTCTTATAAATATAACTGTTTGGTAATGTCAAGGGGTACACGAGGTACTACTTGGTTGTTTTTTTTTTTACTAGGTTACCATTCTGTAAAATCTAAAAAGAATCCAAACAGATACATGTAGGTTACACTGAAGTAGATACACACTATTTTATACATGTAGTTACAAAAGCTTGTATTGGATGATGCAAAGTTGCCTAAAACATGGTGTAAACAGCAATAATTCTTCCTTTTTCAGTTTGCTTAGACTTTATGAATCTGGTTTACTATTTAGGTACAAGGTGAAATCTTATTTTGTTGAAGATGAAGTGTTGCATTCTTATTGTAGATAGTTACAGCTATTTTTTAATTTTTTTTTTTTATTGTTGATTGAAAATTTGTAGTGTGTGTTTTGAGAAGCTTTGTACTCTAATGATGTACTGATGTCCAGTTGGATGACTATTTGTTGTTTTTATCAGGTAGATGTATGTGTGTTTGTACAGAAAATGTATATTGTACATAAAGCTTATTTATTTATAGTACATATGGGTATTATTAACTGAGCAGCTTTTCTATTTTATCTGCTTCCTGCATTTTTCATGAGGAAAATATGACGGTAATATGAGACTGATTTATTAAAAGAGGGACTCCATTTGAGCGATTTTGTCTGTTTATTGTTAAAGGTAAAGACCAGTAATGGTCATGCGATTGCATTGTGAAAGAAACGTTTTGGAATCGATCAGAAAAGGTTGATCATCTAGCATCTAGCATCTGCAAGGTTCTGGAATCATCAAATTGATAAGAAATTTGGCCCATTCTTCGTAAAGTTACAAGCACTATACACAGAAAGATGTATATGGGACTACCCTATCTCTCTCACACGACCATGAGAGAAATAAATTTACCAAATATATGAATTAGTAGGCGGTTTCCCGGCAAATTTTTTATCATCATGTATTAGTCAAAACATATTCTTTCACATGATTGGTAATGAGAGCTTCCATTTCATTTTTTGAAATTGGGGCGTTACCAATACTGGTCTTTACCTTTAACTGACAGATAAGTTCTTGTTTCACAAGCTTGTCGTATCCTTAAGCAAGGCATTTCATTTGCAATGCTTCCACCCACCCAAGTGGATATGAACACCACTGTGGTTGGATTAGTAATTTGCATCTCTTTATAATCGCACCTGGCTGTATTGCTTACCAGGGAGTGGAGAATGTGCCCACAGTGTGTGCAGGCAAGCCTGATTCCAATGATTGGGGTAACAATATATCTGTAAAGTGCTTAGAGACATCAGATGCATTGAATCATATATATTGGATACGTCAGATGGTTATTAAAGTTATTTTGTGTCCCTTATTCATAAAGATTGATGTGCATTTGCAGGAGTGGTTTTTTGTTTTTTGCCTATACCATATGAGTATTATACATCTTTCCTGAATGATACCCAGTGTCAAATAAAAAGGAAAGATCTTGCTGAAGCACGAGTGAAGGATTCATTTCCTGATTTTCCTCAGCAAAAATCATCAAGTTCCCATATTGTAGATATCTTCACTACCCAATGTAGGACCTAAAATATTGCATTGTGCAAAGAACCTCACCAAATGAAACACTAGGTTAGAAAATTTTGATGCAGTCATACGCTCTTTTTTATATTAGCTGTTTAAAATGTTATTATATCATGACAGAAATGCTAAAACTGGAGCAATTTTTAAAGCCCTTTTAATATCTTTTTATGTCATTAGTTACTTACAATCCTAATTTTTCAGGTTATACAAGATAAAGGTTATCTTTAGTTTATGTAATGGAATCTCATTTTATGATTAATAGTGTACAAGGCATTCTGAATATTTTACCATGCATTAATTAGTTGTTTAGACCAGCAAAACTATAAAACGCATCCTTGTCGATATGCACTCATGAATGCCTACATCATTCTACTGATGATTCAGATTGATGATCAAACCAATTTCATCACATTTCTTTTCTTTGCTGTCATATCAAAGGAAACATGTAGTTATTAATTATGTTTCACTTGCATTGATGAACGCTCGACGCTTCACATTTGTCACTTGAGATTTGATGATTCAGAAGGAACTTGAAAAGTCTTTTGATAAAATGACGCACTTGCAATGTAACAGGGCATAATTTATTAATATAAATATGAATTTATTTTCTCACCTGTAATGCATGGAACATGTCCATTTTGGCATTTAGTCAAGTGTCAATTGCCTGTGGCTGTGTACACACATGGTGTGAATTGCCGCACCATTGAGATTGCGGTTGATGTCCAACTGTGGCGATTTTTTTTTTTTTTTTGCCCCAGATTTCTTTTTTGTCCTCTTTCTCCCTCTTCAAGTTCTTAAAACAGTCATAATCTTATTTTGATTTCATTTAATTGAGCTGATTGTTTTTATTTCTCGCAGTACAAAAACAATTTCTTTGTTTATTGAGCTGGTGATGATGTAAATCATGATTTGCATTAATCAAAATTCATGAGTTTGAGTCATAATTTCCTCAAATTTAGGATTACTCTAAATTGAAAGTAGAGAGGGTAGTGGAAGTATTGAAGCAAAAAAGAAAGTGAAGAGAGTGAGAGAGAAGAAGGAGAGAGGGGAGAAAGAAAAGGAAGAAAAGAAAGAGAGGGATATAGGGAGGGAAAAAAGAAAGAACAACAACAACAAAGAGAAAAGGAAAGAGGGAAAGAGAGAGAGAGGGGGAGAAGAGAGAGGGGGAGAAAGAGAGAGAGAGGTCAGATAAAAGAAAATTTAGAAGAGAGAGAGAAAAATGGATATGAAAAGAGGAGGGAGAACGAAAAGGAAAGAATGAGAGGGAGAGGGAGGAGTAAAAGAAAGAAATAATGTGAAAAGAACGATAAAGAGAAAGAGGAGGGAGAGAAAGAGAGATTTGATAGAAGAAAATTTGGTATTTAAGCGGTAGGGAAGGGAGAGAAAATAGAAACAAGAGAGAGAGAGTGCCAATAGAAGAAATATGTCATACAATCGGGAGTACAATAGAGAAGCATGATGACAAAATATGAAAAGGATTGCTGTTACCAGTAGTCTGTTACGAAGGGTCATAACTCCGTAAATAAAATAGAGTTAACGAATTTGAGAAAAAAAACAATAGAGTTCCCTTTTAGTTTATTTTCGGAATTACGA